GCTGAATGGGGAGCTTCATTAAAACCTGCTGTAGAAACACAATGCCAGACATAATCATAATCCAAAAAAGTTCAATCTGGTCCTCTGGACATTCAAAAAAAAAACAAACAAAAAAAAAAAACAAAGCAAAAAAATATAGAAATGTTTTGTCTCTCATCCAAGAGACTTCCTCAGTCTGAGGTGCTGTTTTCAGCTCAGTCTCTTAAATAGCACCTTCTCAGAGTGGATCAACCAGTTTGCTGCTGACAACCAAAACCAGCTGATCACATGCTCAAGAAGGACCATCAGCCTAACGATGGATCATTAGCACACTGATGGCTGTTTTCTATTCACAGAGGGCTGAGTGATACTAGCAATCACAGCATTGTAAGAGGGGGACAGTTGAACCCGGAGGCCTCCACCCCTGTTTAATGATGGACGATTTCTTTTCACAAAGATGGCCTCCTTTACTCCTCTCTCAAACCATCGTTCCTCTCTGTCCAGGATGTGAACATCTTCATCCTTGAAAGAGTGACCGCTGGCCTGGAGATGAGTGTAGACCGCAGAATCCTGACCTGATGATGTTGATCTTCTGTGCTGGGCCATCCTTTTGGCCAGTGGCTGTTTAGTTTCCCCGATGTAAGACTGATCACAGCCCTCCTGACACTGAACAGCATACACAACATTACTCTGTTTGTGCCGGGGGACTGGATCTTTGGGATGAACCAGTCTTTGCCTTAATGTATTTTGGGGTTTAAAAGCCACTGGGACGTTATGTTTAGAACATAAACATCTCAGTTTCTCTGATACTCCCTCAACATACGGAATGACCACTGGTCTGGGTCTGGGTTCCTCCTTTTCACCTGATGGCTGACTGGAGTCCTGTTTGGTTTCTTCTCTGCTTTCAGGAAGGCCCAGTTAGGATATCCACATTGCTCTAGAGCCTGTTTTGTGTAGGATTTCTCCTTCTGCCTGGCTCCCGAGTTAGTGGGGATGCTGTCTGCTCTGTGATACAGAGTCCTGATGACTCCTAACTTGTGCTCCAAAGGGTGATGGGAGTCAAACTGCAAATACTGGTCTGTGTGGGTGGGTTTGCGGTACACCTCGGTTTGCAAATGTCCTCTATCAGAGACTGAGACCTCACAGTCCAAGAAAGCCAACTTGCCATTTTTTACATCTTCTCGTGTGAACTTGATGTATTTATCCACAGAGTTGATGTGGTCAGTAAAATGTTGGACTTCCTGAGATTTAATTTTAACCCAGGTGTCGTCAACATACCTGAACCAACGACTTGGTGGTGTCCCTGAAAAGGACGTCAAGGCTCTCTTTTCTACCTCCTCCATGTACAGGTTGGCAACAATAGGAGAAACTGGAGACCCCATAGCACACCCATGTTTCTGCCTATAATATTGCTCCCCATATGTAAAGTAGGTTGACTGCAGGCACAGTTTCAAGAGTTGACACAGTTGTTCTGTGGAAAGCGTGGTCCTGCTGCTCAGAGTGGTGTCTGATTTTAATCTTAAACTGACCACCTCTACTGCATCATCAACAGGAATGCACGTAAAGAGTGATGTGACATCAAAAGAGACCATTGTTTCATCAGTCTCCATGATGACATCCCTCACCTTATCCACAAAGTCCATGGTGTTCTGTATGTGGTGTTCTGAGCTGCCAACTAAAGGGATGAGTACAGACGCCAGATATTTTGAAACATTGTAAGTGACAGAGTTAATCATGCTAACAATAGGTCTTAAAGGTACACCTTGTTTGTGGATTTTAGGTAAACCATACAGACTAGGTGTGGCCTCCCCTGGGTACAGTCTGTGGTACAGAATACGGTCAATAGCCTTGTCCTGCTCCAAATTTTTCAGGCAATCTATTAACTTCTTCTTGTAACCACTTCCTGGATCTTTTTTCAGAGGTTCATAAGTGGTTAAGTCACTAAGGAGTGTCATAACTTTCTCATGATAATCTTTCTGGTTCAAAATCACTGTGCACCTTCCTTTGTCTGCTGGGAGAATGATGATGTTTTTGTCCTTGCTAAGAGTGGTGAGTGCATCCCTTTCCTCTCTACTGATGTTGGAAGGTGGTGGTTTGGCATTGCTGAGGCAGGATGAAACTTTGATTCTGAGCTGTTCTGCGTCACCCTCTTTCATTTTGTTGTTGCGGATGGCTGATTCTGTGGCTGTGATCATCTCCACCAGAGGAATTCTACTTGGTGCAACCGCAAAGTTCAGTCCCCTGGGGCTGTGGTTGATCAGAGATGCTGCTGGATTTACAATGTTGTTGTCCTGAACTGTAGTTGGATTAATTCTGCAGTCCCTGACGGGCACATTTATGACCAAGGTCTGAGTATAAAAAAAGACCCAACCATTTCAGCTGAATGGGGAGCTTCATTAAAACCTGCTGTAGAAACACAATGCCACACATAATCATAATATACATCTAATTTAACTTAAACATAAGAAATAAATACACACAAATGTGTTCAAACAAGTCTAAATTAAAACCATGCCATCACTTGATGCAGCTCAGTTAGAATATGCAGTGAAATTGTTTAATGAATTCATCTTTGCTTTTCTTTAATTGATCATAGGGTTGTATATGCGCCTTCAAAGTGATGAAAATAACCTAAAATAATCTCAAACAAGCTTGAAAAATCCATAATTGGTCTTAGAAAAGGATTAAATGAAGGTCCTCATGAGGAGAAACTGGTCCTTCTGTTCCTGGCTGTGAGTCTTTGCTTCCTTCACTGTCAGTCCAAAGCTGACACTTTGTCTGGTTGTGTGAAGTGTTACTGCATTTGAGCTGCTACAACAAACAGATTTCTGTCTATTTCTGACCATCTTGAGCTTCCTGTCCCTCTCTGTCTAAGCAACACGATAAAATGATGAAATACCGGGACGTCATGCTGCCTGATTTGTAATTTCCACTCAAGCTGCCAAATATCTATCTTTGGAGCTGCAGCATTCAAATATAGTGACTTATCTCATTTGCCCAGTATTGTGCTTTGACTAAATTAATTTTCTTGTAAAGATAAGATTGTTTAAGTATGGTGACTCTGGGTTGGTGACCTCCAGTCTAGACCACTCTACTTGTTAGATATTTTCGTTCTGTGATAAGAACTGAAAAACAGTGCACAACACATCTACGACATCTCTTGAGTGCATTAATTGATTAAAAGATTTTCTTAAGACCCAGCTTTAAACTTTGTGTTTTGAGGACAAGTTAAAAGAGAGGAAATAAAACAAGGAGCTCATGAGTTTAAGAGCAAAACCAGCACATCCTGCTCATTCAGTCCATTCAGCTGAGTCCAGTCTAGTTGATGTGATGGGATGCAGGCGTTCTTCAGTCTTTGTATTCAAACTGAAGCAGGCTGCATGTTCATGCACTGCTGCTCTGCAGCTGGTGCTACAATGCACCCTCAGTGCTGCAGAGTGGAGCTGTAGAGGATAAGAGAAAAGACTGACTCATTTAAAGAAGAGGAATGCACAAAGCCTCCAGTGGTTGGGGCTTGGTGCAGATTAAGATTAAATGTATGTAGCCAATCTGCTTTCTGCAAACAAAATAATCAAAACAGGAATTATTTTATCAAGCAAAGCTTTTATTTGAGTTGTGTGACATATTCAAGTGTAAAGCCAAGTTGGACCTACTACTTTGCAGTAAAGTTCTGGAGGACAGAAAGGAAACGATAGTCAAAACAGTCTGGAAATGCCAGCACTGTCCTAGGAACTGAAGTCACACAAAAATCTTCACTTTTGTGCGACTTGTTCTGTTCCGTCTTCTGCCTTTTCCCATCCTGATGTTTTTTCGTGTTGTCCATCATCTTTGTTACTCCAAAAGATAAACAAGTTTTGCTCAGGAACTATTTTTGTTAAAGCTAAGTAGAAAGAGAAACAGATAATTATAGAAAATAAAAGTTTTTTTCCTCTGCAAAGCTTCACAGCTTTGAGATAAGCTTTGGACTGCTTATCACCCGCCGACTATTCTCATCAGCGGTCTTCCTGCCGGCCCTGTTAACGTCTCACCTTGGTCACTATGGACGAGACTCTGGCACGATCCTACAAGGACCTCCTGAACTGTAACCTTTGTCCTGCATGAAGTTTTAGAAACAGTCAGCCTCCGAAGTACTGAAAAAAACGGAGCAACTGTCAGCTGTAATGGCCGACTTGATCCTGAAATGGGCTGAGAATCTGTTGAGGACTTTGATTCAATATTGGGTCTGGTTACACCATGCCAGCTGATGCAAGATGAAACCAGCTGAATAAACTTTGTGTCATCATTTCAGGACTCTTGGATTCTCATAGACGTTATTCTTGGCCATTCTTCGACATACCTTGAGAATGTTTATGGATCTCACCAGAGGACATTGGCTGATTATTCCATCCTTATCAAAACTCTTAGTGACCTCGAGAGCATCTATGAACATGCTCACTGCTCTCAGCTCCCCCCTCTGCAGAATGTCTATGTCACTATGTGCTTGTTTGTGCGAGGTGGGTTTTTTTTTTTTAATATTAGAGTTTTTTTTTCTCTCAGGCAGGAAAAAAAAAAAGTCTGATAGGAATTTTTTCACCTCCAACTCCTACATGTGTCCATTTTACCACTTTTTTGTTTGTCCGAACAGGTCTCACTTGTAAATGAGTCTTTTAGGCTCAATGTGATTTATCTGTTTAAATAAAGGTTGAATGAATGAATGAAAAATGCAACTTGAAAAATTATCATTTTCTTGCTTGCTGTGTTAGTAAATAACCTAATCTGATCAAATCTTATAACAAATCTGTGCTTTTGTGCGACTTGTTCAGTTCCGTCATCTGTCTTTTCCCATCTTGATGTGGATGGGAAAAGACAGGCAAATTTCAAAGTAAACTATGTATTACAGAGTTAAACTTTATCTTATTTGTTGAGCGTATAGCACATAATTACTTCTGTCCCAAAAATTATGTATTTTGTAGTGGATAAAAGAAAATGAATCCTTGATTAATCCTTATTGGTTAATCAATAGGTAATTATTCTACATATTCATTCAACAAGTACTTCTTCAAACTAGTTATTATGCAGTACTTATTCTTTGTATTATTGTTTTATTTTTTTTAAATAATTTTTGCAATAAAACTTCAAAGACAAATTTGGTCTCATTGGATAAATATTAATTTGTTATGCTATAAAGTTCCCTGTAGCTAATGGATTATTAAAGGGTGAATACATTAATTAAGTGGTTATTGGTTAGTAAAATGCTCTCGGTATATATACTGTATTCAAGGATTCAAAGATTCAAGGTTCTTTATTATGTGGTGCGAATGAAATTGTGTACACAGGGTCCCAGTTACATCCAACAAAAGTATAAATTGTAAAAGAAAAACAGTAATAACATCTAAGATATGAACTAAGAAAAACGTCAACTAAATATACACTAGTAGCATAAAAACATTACGTCAAACAGCAGCATGAACATGAGTCTGTGTGAGCAGATGAGCATGAATGAACACATCAACATGAAACAGATCAGCAGCAACATGATGTGATTTTTCACAGTGATTATCCTGGTTAGAGATTCACAAGTCTAACAGCCTCAGGGTAGAAGCTGTTCTTCAGTCTTGTGGTTCTACACAATGCTCCTCAACCTCCTCCTGAGGGGAGTGGGGGAAAAAGTGTGTTTGCTGGGTGAGTGGGGTCCTTCATGATGCAGGTGGCTCTCTTCCTGCATCTAGCGGTGTAAATGTCTGTGATGGTGGGGAGACTGACTCCAACAGACTTCTGTGCAGCCTTCACCACTCTCTGCAAAGCTTTTCTTTCTGGAGTTGTGCAGCCTTCATGCCACTGGTTGATGCTGGAGCACAGGATGCTCTCCATTGCTCACCTGTAGAAGTATTTTTTGCCGACCTGTTGTTTTAATTATGTTTTATAGATCAACTCATTTGACTTTGATGGTTTCACACTTTATTGTGTCTCCAGCTTCCTCACTCATTTTTTTTCTATCCCGTCTCTTCTTCGATGCTGCAGGCCAGCCAGCTGGGTGTTTACAAGGCTTTTGTGGACAACTACAAGATTGCGGTGGAGACGGCAGAGAAATGCAGCCAGGCCAACATCCAGTTCCAGAAGATTTCTGAGGTCAGTCCATTGCTTGTAAAAAAAAATTAAATAAAAAGGCTCAAGAGAGACAGATAAAAAGATGTCTGATAAGCAAATAGGCAGCGTTCTTTGGATTCTGTGCCCTTGTTTTTTTTTTTTTTCATGGTTGCTGTTTTATTTTAACGTGTCAAACTGTATGTGATAATTAATAAACAATAAAGTTGCTTATTGTTAGTGTCAGGTTCCATAACCACAAATTCCCTTAATCTAAGTAAAAATAAAGCAAAGGGCCATACAGAAGGGAAGCAAAGTGAGGTGGAACATGTGGTCTGATTTTGAGGTACACCAGTTTATGAAGATATGCGTTTAAATACTGCTAGAGACATTTTAACCTTGCTAATGCGAGGGGAGAGGAGCTGAAATATTTTCAACTTGTGCTTTTCTTTATATCAACACAGTCACAGTTGTAGCATGATAAACAAACATTTAGTATTTTAGTATATTTAGTCCCATCTTTAAAGAGAAGATGGAGCTAACAACAGTAAAACAAAGGCACGCTGTCTGGTGACAAGCCAGTTTTGTCCAAAGTTGCTCAGCTAACATCAGAACATTGTATAAAATGGTTCTTTGTACCTTTAATAAAATACTGAGATATATTTTTTTATTAATCGGATGGATATTGAGGTGGGAATCTGGAGGATTAGCTTCCTTAAAGGTTGTGTTTTGGTGAATATAAAATGTAGTTCTGTTTAAAGGTTATGAACAATTAATATCTAACCTGCTATAGATAGCCCTTTGAGCGTCCTGTTTGGGGAAATAGTTATGTTTTGACTGGACTGACTAGCTAATGACTACTCTGAGCAAGACCAAGATCAAAGTGGATCGCTGTTGCCTTAAAAGAGCTTCAATCTCCAGCATTTTGTGGCTTTTCATTTCATTTTACTCTGACTTCAGTCTCTCAGTACTTGTTACGTGAAATTTTGTAGTTATTCTTATAAGCCTAAATAACACCAGCACCTGTTCTTCTGCAGTAGTGGTACTTCAGGCAACTTTACACAATATGTTTGCCAAAATAACTATATAATGTGAAGTTAACAGTACTTTAAGGTTTAAATACAAGTGTTTGCATGAAGTCTTTAAAGCAATATGTGTTTTAAGACAACAAATTTCACTTTGCAGGGGATCTACTAAGACCATACTGACAAGCTAATAATGCCTAACTCAAGAGGACCCACTCCTATAGTGGATTTTGTTGTCTTAAAACAACTCATATCTTCAAAATATATAGTTCCCCATTCAAATACATGTAATACTATTTAATCCTCCTGCTGCACTTGGGTCAAAATGATCCACGAGGTCTCAGTTTAAAAACTGAAGCCTCGTGGATCATTTTGACCCCAGGACAGCAGGAGGTTCAAATCCTGCACGAGCAGTAATTTTGACAGAATTATGATATTCTTGATAGAAGCTAATCCAGACTGCACAGGGAATGCTACAGCTAGCAGTTGCTATTTTTACTTGGAAATAACTGCAATGTTATTTGTAAATATCATAACATAATGAGAAACTGACAGTGGTATGAGGGTCTTTGACCTAATGTGCTCATCAACTGCTGTGAAACTGTGGAGAGAAAAGATAGCCGTTAGCTCAATCCTGTCATGATTAAACTTTTCTTTCTCCAAAATGAGATAATTCAAAGAATTATCTTCAACAGGTAAGATTTTATTTGTAACTTTTCCTAAGAAGCCCTCTTGATTATGCCTTTTAACTATCTAATTTTGCCTTTAAAACACAGCTTAAAAATACAAAGGAGAATATATTTCCTGTTAAATGTACAGCCAGTCATTTACTGAGCCCAATTATGAGCACAATATAACAGTATATAACATCATACCTGCACAAGATTACAACTATTTTATTTTATTTTTTGTCCTGTAATTGTCATAACTTTAACAGTTTGGCAGCCTTATTGAATCATGCCTGACTGTTCATTTATGTTTGAGCCTGTTATTATTCTAACTGAACTCAGATCTGTCCTGACTGTGTTACTCATTACACCTTATAGTGTGTACATGAACAGAGGCCGTTATATGAGCTGCTACCACTACCCGAAGGCCTCATAGTGTTCAGTTTGTCATCTCCTGCTGAGCTTCAGTCAATACGGTGCTAAAAATACACTCGAAGCAACAGAGCAAACACACCTGGCTTTAATGTAAAGTGCGAGAAAGAATCACAATCACGGTCTCCCTATAGTTAGAAGTATTGATCATAAGCAAATCAGATTATCTCTTATCTAGCATTTAGTTGTTTAAGCACCTTTTTCAGTGAGTTGAGCTAGTTAGCAAGCTGAAAGTCTTAGACAATAAAGAACTTGCTTTGCTTTAGCGGTCTTCAGAGTCTTACGATGTGTTTGGAAGAGGTTGGTCAGGTTACTTTATGACGCACGACTGAATATCTTGGAGGGATTTTACTGTATTCTATTGTTTGGATGAGTTTGCTCAAATTCAGAATATGAATACAGTAGTCCCTCATTTATCGCAGGGGATTCATACCCTGAAGCCCCGCGATAAGTGAAAAACTGCGAAGTAGGAATAGAAGTACAAGTAATAAGTAGTTCTTTATTTTAGTATTTATTTGTATGTATCTATGTATGTCTCTCTCTCTCTCTCTCTCTCTCTCTCTCTCTCTCTCTCTCTCTCTCTCTCTCTCTCTCTCTCTATATATATATA